GAAAATACAAGTGGAACGAAAGTGTCGCGAAGACGGAACGCCAGGCGTTAATCGGTTGAACTTTCAACGTGTGAATGAACCTGTAAAACAATTTTTTGCCGATGAAAGTTCGCGTCTGCCATCTTGCAGGATAAGTTTTTACGGTTCTCCTAACTGTACACCGCGCGATTCTTTATTGCGAAATAACACTCCTCCGTAGCAAGTGCCGCTAAAGGAATGTAATTAATTTTCCCTCAAATTAATTCTTTGACGTAGTTTTCCGCGATTCCTCGGGTAGCATGTACGCTCTATCGCAGAATCTGTGCGTCATTTCTTCACGGATAAATTCTTATTAATCCTCGGGACAAATAAATACCTATTTCACAAGCCTGCCGGCCAGTCATTAATAACATTTATCTCTACCAAGAACGAAACGCGCAATACATACTTACTACATAGATAGCGAAGATTTCACACGGAATTGAATTTCTTCTCAATTCACATTAAATATTATTCTTCTGTTATCAATTATTACATTCTAAAGCGAACATAGATAAATCGAAGCTGAACTCAAGCAATATTAAATCTAATTAATTCCTTCAAATTAAAGAGCAACTGCTACCAATACTAACACTAGATTTGAAAACAACAATCCAACACTTAACACATTAAATGCCAGATGATTCAAGCAGCAAGCCACTAACGCAACAAATCTAAATCATCTAATTCACAATATACAAACTTCAATCACATGAATTACAGTAACTCAATTCAACCAGAACCAACGAACCCATCAAACACATACTGACTTCTATAAACATTATCCAGTAAATCTTCAAATTATCTGTCCCCAGACCTCTACCTTCCAAGATTCAAACATCCATCCATCCCCAGGAACGATAGAATAAACTGCGCAATCGTTCGCAAAATGTCGATATGTTGCCGACATCAAACGTTCATCGGAATAGTTACAACCAAAGGATTCAACTATTCAAACAGCAAGAAACGATTGAAGCATTCTAATTTAGTAGAATCCGCGAAAGGTTCCGTATACTTTACACAATCCTCCGCGAAGGGTTAATTATCAGAGCCGATCGACGCCGTCGCGGGCCCGTTCCCTCGCGGCCGGGGCCCGTTACCTCTCCACGAAGAGGAAAACGGGACGGCTCGCGGGGAGCCGTGTGTGTAGCCCGGTAGGTGTTACTTTCGAAATACCGTCTAGGTCGTGCGTCATTCCGCGGTGGCGGGTAAACGCGACGTTTCACTTTCGACTCTCGATGGTACCGGTCCGAGCGGAACGGGCTTAGCTGCGGCCTTGACTACGTCGCTCCGAGCCCGCGCTCGTGTCTCCCCTCTCTCTCTGTCTTTCGCCCGCGAGCGACTCCGCGTCGCGGTGCACCACGAGCGTGCATATACGCGCAGCGCCGCGCGTCCTTCGCGCAAAACGCCGGTGCACGGGCTCCGCTCCCGCGGCGGGGAGGGTGGACTTCTGTTCCGCGTGTGCATATACACCTACCCGACCCCGTGCCCTCCGCGTTCCGCCTTGCAAAACCGACCGTTCCCGCCGCGAAACTCTCGCGCCGGGGTTCCCCCTTCGGAGAAAGAGCGTCGCGAAGGTGAAACCTGCGCCCGGTTTCTAGAAAGTCCCGCGAACGCGGTGCTCGCCGCTCCTGGAACGAATATTGTTGATTCCGTTCGGTTTCCTCTCGCGAGGAGAAGGCACTTCTGGGGTATTCGGGGTTTCAGCAGGTTTCACTGACGATTGGTGAGCGGTTTTTGGGGATCTTTTATGGTAGGGGTGCGTGGAGGATTAGTAGCTGTGACTGGTCTCTTGGATGGTGTTGGGTTCTTTGAGGATTTTGTAGGTTTTACTTTGGTTTCCTGGGATTTTGATGGTTTGAGTAGGTTTCGGAGATTTTTTCGAGGATTCTGAGTGTTGGTTAGTCTTGGGATCATTGGAGATCCAGGGTAGCTATGCTAAGTCTCTTGAAGTGGATGGTGTTGGATTCTTCGAGGATTTTGTAGGTTTCACTCTAGTTTCCTGGGAGTTTCATGGTTTGAGTAGGTTTTGGTAGTGGTTTTGGAGATTTTTTGGAGGATTCTCAGTGTTGGTTAGTGTTAGCATCATGGAAGATCCAAAGGTAGCTATGCTAAGTCCGTTGATGTGAATGTTGTCCTGCTGGTTTATAAGAGTTCACCTGTTCTTCCTATTTTCTGGGGTATTAGGGTTCTAGGTACATTTGAGTAACAATTTGTAATGTTTTATGAAATTTTGTTCGCGATACGAATATATACTTCGACTTGTCGACGTGAAAGGTTAGCGGTAGCTGTCCTACAGTCTACCGCGATAACGACGGAACGGTCGAATCATCTTTTAAGCATTTGCTGTTAGCATGTCGAGGACTGCGACAGTTTTAATAACTAAGCCGGACGTATTGTGCACAAGGCTCTAAATAGACTTCCTCAGCCAATCCGACGATACCGTTTGGAAATAGGATCCGAACAGTTTGAGGGAGCGACATGAGTCACTTTAATTTGCATGCGCGTCTTTATCACACACCAGATTAATTTCAATGACAAACGTCGATGTCTCCTTGATTTATATGTTCATTCGATGTCATTTCAATTCTACCTTTACTTTATTATTTTATTACACGTTCTTCTTTGCAACCCCTTTCATCTATAATCACAGATTTAATAAACGCCATGGAGGCATTACTTATAATCAATATTCATATAAAATGAATCACCGTCGATCGTTTTAAATTCTATATAATATTACAAATTATAGATTCTATATTCTAGATTATAAATATATAGCTCTAAATATAAGATCCAGCGAAGGAATAACGATCGAAAGAGCGGCGTCGCGAATATTATTTTATTGTTATTATTAGCGACTTCCCGGCTCATTATCAAACACCGACGTCACCGTTATCGGTCGGCATTGCTTCGCAGGACATCGGGTATCGATTCGATTATTCTACGGGGCTGGTTGATACCCGAGCAGGCCAGATAACGAGGAAAATTTACACCGTAATTTTCTAGGAAGTCGGGGTTTCTATTGATCACCCGGTGTCGAATGTCCTCCGGACGTACATTCGATCCACTCGCGGGCGCAGTGTATCAAGGGTGTCCCATCGTGCAGCGTCTATCGAGCGAGTTTTCGAAGGCTTCGACCCCGAACCACGATCGTCGACCTCCCCGATTACCGATCAAAGCCGGAGATCGATTAAAAATATCTCTTAATCGCCGAAATCGTTCCAAGCCTCGACGATATTTCCGAAACCTCAGGTACACAAAGTGAACCGATCGTTTCGCGTTCAAGAAACACCCACGAAACACAGAACAAAACTGATCAGCGCGCTTTCCCCGTTCCCAAAGCGTCCCCTGGGTTCAACCTTTCACGTGAAAAACTCTCGTCGGACTCGAAAATTGATTGAACGCCTGGAAATTGTTATCGAGCGTCCTTTCGAGGCTCGATATTCAAAACGCGCCGAGCGTCGCGCTGCGACGGGTCCCAGCGGCCGCAATTTCAGCGAGTCACTTCGC